CCTGGTTGTGTTTAGCTCCTTGCAGCATTCAAAGTTGTTGTTGATCTATGCAAACACAAGTGTTACTGTATATACAGTTCTATAGCTCAGTGCCTTTTTATTATGTTGGAATATCTTGGATTTGGATGCCAATGTTTCCACTTTCAGGGCCATAAGAAGTGTTCACTAGAAATGTGGCATCAAGACGCATGTATATTTTACCACTTAGTCTGACATCCAGACTGAGGAATGGTTTAAGCTCAGCACTAGAATCATTCCATTTGAAATCTGCAAAGTGATATCCACTGGAATCTTCCCGTCTCAGGATGATAGTTTTAAAGATTAAATGCTGAAGAAGCCTTAGCACTGGAGAAGTCTCTGATACCTTGATTATTCTTTAAGAATCAAGTGTAGTTCCTTACTTGACTTAGTTCTGCACTGAAATCAGTAACTGCTACTTGATTTTTCTTTCTGCTTCAGTTCAATTCCTCATTCTCTGCTGAGACAATGTGGTTGTGAAGAGTAACTAGAATAAAAGATATTTTAAATACTGTGACCCACAGTAATGTGGCAAAATGCTCCTCAGCGTTTGGTTTTTTCCTAAATATAAGTTATTTGTGTACATTTCCTTGGTCTTGCAGACCTCCAAGTGAATCTTGAAGCTTTGACATTGCCAACATGTATATAGAGAGTAAAATATAAGTTTATTAATGTAATTTGTTTACAGATGTTTATTGATGCAGTGATTTTTAAAAAGTATATTTTATTTTATAGGGGAATGTGAAATAATAAGAAAAAATTTAGAGGATTAAATTCAAGAAAAGTTTATTACAAGTTGAAAGGGTTTGCTGGGGGGAACTGTCACCCCAGTATGAATCTGTAAAACGAGGTTATTTGAAAGCAAAAACTTCCTCTCGGCATCAAAATCAAGGCTGGTTAAGCAAAAGAAGAGTTTGTTTATAAAGGGTTTGATACATTGTAACCATTTACTGCCTCCTTAAACTGCATTGTTGGAAAAGCACAGCATGGAATTCCGAGCAATGTGGGCCCTTGTCTTCCATGGGGACAGCAGCACCTCCTGATGTCTGACAGTTTCCCACCTGATTGCTGCCTGTACACCCTCCTGTTACGGGACTGAGTTGACCTGTATTTCTTTTAACAAGTTTTCTGTGGTTCAGTATTTCTAATCCTAAATAAAACTAAATCTTGGCAATTCTTGAGAGTCTGTGTCTGTACACTGGGAGTTTGGAGCTTCTTGTACAAGCCATGAGGAGTTCTGTTCTCAGGCTTCAACACCAGAGCTGCTGTGCAGCCACACACTGCACTGGAACAGGAGAGAAACCCATCTGCAGGGCACTGACAGTACATGGTGCTCAGCACTGGCTCTCCAAAAAGCTCTGTTCTGTAAAAACCACTTTCCTCCTGCTCTCCCCTCATAATTCCTGCCTTCTCAGAACACTCATCTGTATGTTAGTTTGATTTCCTGCTTGTACACTGCCTCCAGGGGGAAGTCCTTTGAAACCTTGTTACTAGCCTAGCATTATTTTGCAAATAATATTTTGCAAGACATTCATTATGGGAGTTCTTGTAAAGATTTGAACAAACAAAACCAAACCTTTATTTCCTTATCAGCGCTTTCTAAGCCACTCTTCTGCACACATCTGCTGATGAGGCACATAGCCAGGAGTGCCTCCTTCTCGTTCAAGAGAGGGCTTGTTCTAAATCTCAAGGTGAGGTCTTTCAGCTTCACAAAAAATTGCACCAGATGCAGCTAAAATTGTGCAAGCTTTGCCATTGCCTCTTCCCAGTGCTAACACCACACTTCCTGTCATAGGAAATACAGCAGCCTCAGAGCTGGGGATAACATGCAGAGTCTGAGGCCTACCAGACCTTTTTCTAACTTTTCTTTTTGAAGGAGATGAACTGGTGAGAAGACACACTATATAAACCAGAGGATATCAGCACTGTCTTTGCAGAGCTGAGCCTAAGTTAAATCTCCTAAAATAGTAGGGTTTGGCCTGTAGAGCATGAACTGGAGCTGGGAATAACAGGAGCAGCATCTCAAACATTTCTCTGGCTGCTGAGTAACTACTTCAGAATGACATGTTTGAGACAACAAGTTTATTGCAGTTTGCCAGACCTGGCTTGTTCCCTCTTGCTCTGGCAGGAGATAACAACATACTTTGCAGGTGGCACCTTCTGATGGCTGTGCTTGCCGCTGCAATCAGCTGGAGGACAGATGATACCATATGTTGTCTCTGTCGTGGTTGATGGCTTTTCGCCTTTAAACAAACAGAAGTAAAAATTATTGCCAGTCCATGCAGCACAAAGGCTGCTGGGGCCCAGCACAGCTTCCTGCACTAGCTCTTTCCCACACTGAGTCAGTCCAGGAAATGTTTGTCATTGTGACCAGTTTTCCTGTGGAATAAAGCTTTGGGCTAGTTAAAACCACACAACTCCAAGGCAGGGGCTGAGGGGCAGAGTGTGCCTGGCTCAGGAGGACATCAGGCTCTCAGTTCACCTTTGATGTTCTTGTCACTGGGGAGCAGGAGTTCCCTTAAGTGTTGTGTACTGCAGTGGCAGAACCAGAGAGCTTTCAAAGGGGTGAATGAGAGCCTGGACTGTAAAAAAAAAAAAGCATGAGAATTAAAAAAATAGGACCACTCTGATCCCAACTGCTTCTCTGTCAGGGCTGGCTAGCCCAGGCTCCCTAGTGTTCTCAGCCTAGGCAGCTGCATCACTGCTCCAGTTCAGCTCACCATTAGACATCTGTGCTGTAGTTTTGAGTCCAACCAGCCTGTATGCAGAAAAGCAGCCCCTCAGCTCAGCTATAAGATACAACTTTCTGGAGTGGTCTTTAGCTCCCTCAGCACAGGCTACTCCTTTGCAGAACCAGCATCATGGTTTGAGCCACGACACTCAATGGTCAAAGGACACTGGTTGAGCAAATACAAGACAAGGCTGAGAAAGCTGGGACAGTTCAGCCTGGAGAAGAGAAGGCTCAGGGGGAATCTCATTAGTGTGTATGAAAGGTACAAAGAAGACAAAGCCAGGCTCTTTTCAGTAGTGCCAAGTAGCATGACCAGAGGTAATGGGCATGCAGCAAAACACAGGATGTGTGAACATCAGGAAACACTTCTTTACTGACCAAGCACTGGCACAGGCTGTCTGGCGTGGTTGTGGAGTCCCCATCCTAGGAGATACTCAAAAGTTGCCTAGACATGGTGGCTGGCAATTGGCTCTCTGTGGCCCTGCTTCAGCAGAGGGGTTGGACAAGACCACCCCCAAAGATCCCTTCCAACCTCCACCAGTCTGTGATACAAGTATGACCTCCAACTGCTCCCAAAATCTAGAAACTAATAGAAAAACAAACCAACTCTAAAACCCAAGGCAAGTATGAACCTTGAACCTTTTCAGATCTTCCAGTAAAGCACCCTGAAGGCTTTTCCCTTCACCAACACTTCTTTCTCAGGAGAAATAACACAATAAAGCAGAATTCACTATGAAAATTAAGTTTTAACTAATGGTCTGCTATGCAGCCAAGAAGGAAAGGCCTCATCCACTGTACCTGTTGTGCTGCCTCTCAATATACATCACATTACCTCTTACCTCTTTGTTTGGTAAACGTCACTAGCAATGTAGGTGTGTGGTATCTTCAGCCACTCAATTGCATCCATATGCTGCCGGCTCAAAGGTAGCAGTGGCAGTTCTCTGCTCAGTTTGTTCAGTTCTCTGTTAGAGAGAGGTCTTCCTGGCAGGAAGTAACAAGTGCCTCATGTGAGCACCTACTGTCACAAGGAGGGCACGGCTCCAGTATGAAACACTTCTAAGGGATACCACTTGTTTAAAGTACCTGTCTCACACTGCTTGGTGATGCCTGTCTCAACCAACTTTCTTTGAATGTCTCTTAACAAAGGATCCTGTAAAGCTGGTATTGAAACCTGTGGCAGAGACAGTTATGTCATGCTTAAGCAGCAACACAAGCACTTTGTCAGCCTCAAAAGACCAAAGTCGGAGGTAAATGTCAGGATACCACTGGTTAGCAGGGAAGGAGCATCAACCTCATTCTTTTATGGATAAAAACAGGTGGCAGACTTGAGTGGCCTCAGAAATACTGAGCCTCTCAGATCCTCGGGCAGGCCGTATAGTGCATTCAACAACTGTGTCACAGAGTTAGACCATAGACATGAGATCTGATTTCCTGGAGGCATCTGATCTTGATGAACCCTGTAGGGGTTCACACATTGCAATCAGCTCCATCCCCACAGCTGCTGAGGGCTCACAGTGTCCAGAAGGGATTTAGAGAATTGCACTTCATGGATTTGTGTCCAAGTGCTCCCTACCTCTTCTATTAGCCCTTGGTGCATTTGAGTGAGCTTCTGTAAAGGTCATCTGAACTGTTAGATTGCCTCCTACAGAGCGCACATCCAGCTTGCCCATGAACACACCAATCCCTGTTAGACAGGATGCTTCCCACACTGCTACAATGAACTTCAGATGGGGTAAACAAACCTCCCCCCCCGCTATTGCCTACTGTGCCTCCAAGTCTGGGCTTAGCATGGATCCAAACTGTTTCCCAGTGAAAAACATTTTCAGACACACTTGGGCTTAAATGCAGTAGGAGCTGGGACCCATATTTTGCTCTATGCCAGCCCCATAGCAGCACATCAGTAACACACTCTGCCTCCTCTCCAGCCATTAACTTCCTGATGGCCAAAGAGTGCCCCTAGACCTCATGGCATAAATAATTATCATACCTTCCACCAGTCTGTAGATGTCCTCAGGAAGAATGGGTCGTATTCTGATGGGTCATAAGCATCCAAAATCACATAGCCCTGTGGGAGAAGTGGGTACTGTGTCAGGTCCCATAAGCTATTGGTGATAAAACAGCGAGAGCAGCCAGCTCAGGTATTACACTCCCAGGCGTGATATGAAGACAGCACCAGGAGTGGTGGAGAAAAGGAATCCTGAATTTTCACACACTGCACCTCAGAAAGAAGGTGACTTAAGTGTAACAGGAAAATTCTTCCATCTATTTTAATTTATTATAGGCATGAATATATAAAAAATGATTTCACAAAGCATCCAGAAGTAATTACAGGCTAAAATGCTAACCACAGCTAGGGCAGTGAAGAAAAAGGAGAAATTCTGTTCAACAGAAAATGTTTTGACAGAGGTGGGAACAGATATTAAAAAGAGGCTGAGTTCAGGTTCTTTGTGACCAGAGTTAGCTGGGGAACAGCCAGTACCACCACTTGGCATCCACTGTTGATGCCAAGACCAAAGAATACCAGATCAAACAGGCCATCAAGAAGCTGAACACTGAGGTTAACACAGTGATCAAGCCTGATGCTGAGAAAGGTAAATTCCAACTGTTTGTCTCCATGTTATAATGCACTGTTTACAGCCAGTAACCCAGGACTTACCTAAATTGCATCAAGTAAGAGCTGCACAGAGGAGAAAACAAAACAGAAGTAAAAAAAAAAAAACAACAGAAAAGAACAGAACACAAGTGACACTCTAACAACAGTAAGAGAAAGGCAAGTGTATTTATCAAATACTTCTCTCTAATACTCTTGCCATTCCACCAACATCTCAGAAATGAAGTCTTTCAGCTTTCTTGTGCAGATGGTTCTTCAGGGGTCTCAGGAAGGAAGGGAATGTTCAGCCCATGGTCTTTCAGATCTAAGCCCTAAACAGTTCTTTTTGGCAATCTGTGGATGTGATTTCAAGTTAGAGTTGGAAAAACCATGCTTTAACCTGAACAGTTCAGGAGCGCTGCAAGATGAGTCCAAATCAAACAGTGTGGGCTCTGCAGTAGGTTTAAGAGGTCACTGTGTTGAAGGTGCTCACATGGGCGAGCAAGCCATGCCCCAAGGGCCTGTGCTGTTCCGAGACACTCGGTGAGCACCCAGGCAGTTCCATGGGGCTTCAGCTACTGCTGAGTAGGAATGTTGTTGCATCTGCAGTGGCCTCTGCTCCCCAGGATCTGGCAGTTCCCCAGAGTGAAAGCGGCAGCTACATTCACCATCTCCCATTTAAGCACCAAAATGCCTCATTTTGCAGGGTTTTAGTGCCATCCCTTGGTTTACCATTAGACATGACCCCTATGTGCTCTCAGTCAGTTGTGCTTAGTGCTGTGCAGCACACCCATGTTTGATCCCTTCCTGCAGTTGATGTCTGGTGACTCGCACACCCCTTGGCAGAAAGCAGAGTAACAGCCTGCTCTTAATGAGTCAAAAGGGTCTCTTACTCTGCAGCATCTCAGCACACAACACCTGCAATATCCGGGACTTCCAAAAGATGAGTTGTGGCTAACACAGCAGCAAGCCAGGCCAGGGAAACTTCCCTGTCCTTGCAGGCTACAGTGTAGCACTTCCCTGCCAGTGCTCGAAAGAGAGTAGAGCTGCTGCCATCTTCACACTGTGACCAACCACCTCATCATGCATTTGCAGACCATGTCCATGGGAATGGAAGTAAAAAGGAGGTGAGAATGGGGACAAAAAGGAGATAGATTTAAGGAAAATTACATACACGAGCAGGTCACTTGGAACAATGGAGACACGGAAAGGAGGGAAAGGAGGAAGGCTACAATGGCATGATAAAGGAGGTAGAAATGCTAACTGACAGAAAAACTGAGATGGAGGAACCTGAAAGGACAGTGAGGAGAAAGAGTGTTACTAGAGAGGATGAGTACGGAGGAAATGGGGAGAAGGCAGCTTTGGAAAGCAAAGGACAGTGGAGAACTTGGAGGAGTCATCAGAAGCAACAAGGAGTGGGAGACACAGCACTGGGGAGTCTACAGAAGAAAAGGGGACAAAACAGTGACAGACTTGGGGATGGAGTAAAAGGGTTGCCTCGAGAGAGGAAGAGTGCAAGAAGCACAACTGGAGGAAGAAGAATACATATGGATAGAGGGAATGGACCAGTGACAGAGACACAGGAAGGTGAGAAGATCTGAGGAACAGGACAAGGAGAAGACTAATAGCAGTGAAGAGAGCAAGAGAAAATGGACAAAATGGAAGGGGAGGGAAATGCACAGCCAGAAGTCACTATAGTAATGACCACAAAAGTGTCTTAAGTTTTGCACAATCTATCATATGCTGCCACAATTAATGCAAACTTAAGCAAATCAATTGCCCTGTTTATCTGATGGGCTTTAGTCTGCTTTATAGACATGCTGATGAGAGAGCTGGCACCACAGAGAAAGGAGAAAAGGAGGAAGCTGATCACTGGCGCTGTGCTTATTCAGTGAGAACGATACATCCCACTACAGCATCATGACCTGCCACAGAAGCCTGTGAGATATGTACAGGACACCCAACGTTAATTCCTAAATCCCAGAACTTCAGCAGTAAGACTGGTGCAGCTCTTTCTCATCCCATGCATTTTAAATGTGTGGGTCTTTCACATCAGACCTTCGAAGAAAAGAACATTCGCTGTCATATAACAACACAGTTCCCATGACATTTTTATTTCTGGATGGGAAGCTTGTTTGCAGTCTCGTAACTCCTCTGTGCCATGGTTTCCACTTAGAACAAAAGCCTGCTCTACATAAAATACTATTTGTGACCAATTATGTAACTGCTTCTATTGCTCTATATCCACCCCTGACATGTAGAAAGTTGATTCATGGGATCTGATACTCCACAGTGGAGTGAAATTCAAAGCAAAATCAAGAAAACCAACAAGAATTTCCTGCAGTGACTCCAAGTTTTACAAGTATTGAAACACACAGAACTATAGAATACATGTGTCTTGCCCACAGCCCTCTGTATGCAGCCCTCTCCATGACAGGAATTTACTTCTCATTGTTACCTTCTTTTTACAGTAGTCTAAATAGAGAGAGAGTTGTTCTTCTTTCCTTTTCTGTATTTCTTTACTTGACTTGCTGTCCATTTTGCTCTTGATCTTCTGCAGCAGTGGCTCTGAAACATCCTCAAGCCATTTCTTGTAGAGCATCTCCTTCTTTCTCAGATCTAAGAATTCATTGTGCCTCAAATATCTGTCCACCTCCTAAGCAAGAAATGGAAAATAAAGCCCATACAACCTATTGGCCAACCACACTGAAGATTCCATGGGTGAAGCCAGGCAGCTTGGCTGACCTGATCTGTCTGGTCATGGCTGCAAAAGCCCTGGTTGCCAGCCCTTCTTTCTGCTACTTCCTCTCTCCAGCTCCCACCACTTGTTTCCAAGCTCTTCCTGGAACAAGCTCCGGAATTCAAACTCTCATTTTTTTAAGCTATAGTGCAAGATTGGCAGAAAACCATTCACTTTCACCAGGTTTGTGAGCTGAAATCACTTCAGAGTAAGGGTCTGATAAGCCCAAGACTGTACAAAATAGGTGGCAGGGGAAGGACCTTCTCCCTGTACCACTGACAACCCACTAGATCAGATCAGCCCTCCTGCCCTTTATTCCAAGGCCTGCCATCACCATCTGATCACACCCACAGAACAAAAGTTAGGTGCAAATAAGGAGGTAAGTCACCAAAGCCAGGTGATTCCCAAGCTCATATTTAGGGTTACCCCTGCAGCCCTATCCAAAGGAGACTGAAGAGGTCAGAAACTTGTACTTCTAAATTTAGTTTTTCAAGAATACAGACAACTGATATTTTCTCATGAATCACTGATGGAAACACATTGACATACAGGAAAGCACACAGGAAATGAGAAAAAAGATACCACTTCTTACCCTCACAAGATAATTTTCTCTGTCCAAGATGCAGTGAGCAGAAACAATGATGTCTTGACTTTGATCAGCTCCTGCCTAACAAAACATCAAAAAAACCCATATGAAGTAAAAGTAAGAGTAGGAATTACAGTTACTTTTGAATCAAAATAATTACTTGTCTTGTGATTAAAGGCACGCTACACCATAACAGCTGGGAGGATAGCACAGGCAGGCAAATCATAGAACCACAGAATGGTAGAATGGTTTTAAATGGAAAGCGCCTTAAAGCTCATCTAGTTCCAAGCCTCCTGCCACAGGCAGGGACACCTTCCACTGGACCAGGTGTTGCTGAAAGCCCCATCCAACCTGGCCTTGCGAGACTTCCTCTGAACAGTTAGGTTCAATGTAGCAACAGAAGAGTTTTGGAAGAACTATAATGCACATGTTCAGTGGTACCAGCCCATTCCGCTCTTTGGCCACAGCACCAGGGAGACACAGACATCTCTCCAGCTGAGAACCACGAGCAGAGTGTACTTAGAACACACATTAGTGAACAGGTGAAAATTCTTCCTTCCGCATGATACACATCTGAAGAATCCTTATAGAAACCAAACGAGTCTCCTTTGACAGAAGGAGTTAGGTCTCTTCTCCCTGGAGAAGAGAAAGCCTGGGGGAACCTCATGACAGATTGCCAGTACTGAAAGGATGGCTACAGAGAGGACGGAGGCTCTCTCTTCACAAGGAATCACGTGGAGAAGGCAGGGGGCAATGGGTACAAGTTGCATTGGGAGAGGTTTCATCTCAATATGAGAAAGAAATTTTTTACAGTGAGATCAATCATTCACTGGAACAACCTTCCCAGGGATGGGATAGAGTCCCCATATCTGGGGGTTTTCAAGATGCAGCTGGACAGGGTGCTAGGCAATCTCCTCCAGAATCCCTTTCCCAGGGACAGCTACAGGTTGGGCAGAGAAGAGATTCAGAGCAGCCCTGTGGAGAAGGACTTGGGGGTGCTGGTCGATGAGAAAATGAACATGAGACTGCTTCAGTGTGCGCTCACAGCCCAGAAAGCCAACCGTATCCTGGGCTGCATCAAAAGGAGTGTGACCAGCAGGTTGAAGGAGGTGATCCTGCCCCTCTACTCTGCTCTTGTGAGAATTCACTTGGAGTATTGTGTGCAGTTCCGGTGTCCTCAACATAAAAAGGACATGGAACTGTTGGAACAAGTCCTGAGGAGGGCCACGAGGATGATCAGAGGACTGGAGCACCTCCTGTATGAAGATAGGCTGAGAAAGTTGGGGCTGTTCAGCCTGGAGAAGAGAAGACTGCGTGGAGACATCATAGCAGCCTTCCAGTATCTGAAGGGGGCCTATAAGGATGCTGGGGAGGGACTCTTCATTAGGGACTGTAGTGACAGGACAAGGGGTAATGGGTTAAAACTTAAATAGGGGAAGTTTAGATTGGATATAAGGAAGATATTCTTTATCGTAAGGGTGGTGAGGCACTGGAATGGGTTGCCCAGGAAGGTTGTGAATGCTCCATCCCTGGCAGTTCTCAAGGCCAGGTTGGACGAAGCCTTGGGTGACATGGTTTAGTGTGAGGTGTCCCTGCCCATGGCAGGGGGGTTGGAACTGCATGATCTTAAGGTCCTTTCCAACCCTAAATATTCTATGATTCCCATGAAAGGTGGGACCAGATGATCTTTCGAAGTCCCTTCCAACCCGGGCTGTTCTTTAAGTCCATGATTCTAAAAAGTTATAAGCTTGTTTAAGTTGTTATGGAAAACTTTCACACACCAAATTGCATGGTGCTCAATAAACCTGCTCCAAAAGGATGCAAGGAAGGGCTTGATAAAACGCATTGGATTGTTATTTCCAGAGTACTTTGTTCCCCTTCCCAACAATAAATGTTATCTCAGTTTTTACAGGATTTTGCAAATCACCATTTTTCATTCACCCCTCCACACCTTCCACTGCATTTCGTTCCTCCACTCATACCTCCTCACAGCTGAAGTGTTTCTCTGTTAGCCAATCTTTGGTATTACTTTTCTCCTCAAAATTTCTTCTGCACTCGAAAGTATCTGCTGTGCCACTCTTTGCTGATGCTGAGGAGAACCTCTGGATAAATGTAAAAAAAAAAGAAAAGGTCTGCAAAGAAAGTCAACCTTCTCAAAGGTCAGGCTCTCATCTAGGTTCCACAATCAAGCTACAAACTGGGATAGAACAGTAGGAAGTTCACCCAACATCTTCACACCCCACTGCCTGGTAAACCTTATTTCTGTTCAGGAAATACAACAAAGCATCCCTTGTAGCAGTTGTCAGGAATACTTCAACATAAGAGATGAAGAGCGTTTCACACAGATGAAACAGGAATGATGGAGATTTGGGATATCCCCATTTAAAGCCATGATTTTAATTATTTGGGCACTCTT